GGGTGGCTTGCTGAGTTCAGGGTTTCCTTTCCCCCTAGTCTAGCTAACCAGCTTGCACTGGGGATTTAGTGTCTTGGCCTCTGCGTGCTGGGATTAAAAGCAGGCTGCCAGGCTCACATTGTTTTTGCATGGATTCTGGGAATCTGAACAGCACCTTGAACATCTATCTATTTTATAAACTAGCTTTATCCGAACCCCCATATTTAGACTACTACATGGGATTCAGTTATGGAAACTTAAATGATATAGTAATATAATTGGATGTTCATATTCTTTCTCTTAGGAAATAAGGCTTTGACTCTGACAGGTGAAGCAGGTAGGCTAACTGCACACCTTCACAGTTCCTTCTGGTTCTTAAAATCGCATGCCCCAGTCCCATCCTCAGCTGTGCAGCAGAACACCTGTGGTAGCTTCTCTCTCATCTCATCTCTAGTGGACCCCACCCTCCTAACTTCCCACCACCACTCATGGCATAACTGGCCACACAGGGGAGAGAAGGCTGGGGAAGGAAGTAGGCTAACTGTAGATCTTCACCTCTCTCTATATTTCTCCAAGCACAATCCCCCAGTCTCATTCCCAACTCTGTAGCACACCTTCTGCTGTGGCCTCTCCTCATTCTCTGCCTCCATTCCCAAGGGACTAACTAAGCAGATCCTGGCTGGTGGAATAACCTGCTTTCCTCCCTCTTGTGAAACACTCCCACACCCACTGCCCAAGTCCACCCCTATTCCTAAGTGTCAAGACAAAATTCCCTTAACATATTTTATCTGTAACTCCCAGTGGCCGCACATATCAGGACCACAGAAAATTTCCTACCAAGCAACAAACACACAGCCACCACAATCTCCTAAGAACCAGAGGAAACAGAAACCAAGGAACAAAACATCCATCCAACAAAGACAACACCAGATATCAGCACCTAGAATTATAACCATCCCAATCCCAGATGCCTAGATGTCAGCATAAAAACATAATCAATAGCATCCAGGAAAATATGTCTCCATGAGAGTCCAGCAACCTTATCACTTCCAGCTCTGAATAGTCCAACATAGCTGAAGCATAAACAAAAGCCTTTATGAATATGATAGAGGTCTTTAAAGGGGGAAATATTGAATAAATCACTCAAAAAAATCAATGAAAACACAAACAATGGAAGGAAATGAATGAAACAGGTCAACAACTGAAAGTAGAAATAGAATCAATATGGAAACCCAAATTGGAGGAAATCTGGAAAATTTAGGTACTTGACCAGGAACCAGAGAGAGAAAGCTTCACCAATAGTATACAAAAGAGAGACTCGCAGGCATTGAAGACACAAAAGAAGAGAGAAGTACCTCAGTCAAAGAATATAATCTTAGATCAGCAAAGTCAAAAGAAGGGAAACACACACACACACACACCATCACCACCATCACCACCACTACCGTCATCAACACCAGCATCAGCATCAGCAGCAACAACAACAATAACAAAATAACAGGAATCAGCAATCACTGGTCATTGATCTCTCTCAACATCAATGTTATCAGTTTACCAATTAAGATTAACACAATAGATGAGAAAACAGGACCTATCCTTCTGCTGCATACAAGAGAAACATCTTAACATCAAAGATAGAAATCACTTCAGGATAAAGCATTGACAAAAAAGATATTCCAAGCAAATGTACCTCAGAAAGAAGCTCCTGTAGCCATTTTAATACCTGACAAAATAGACTTCAACCCAAAACTAATCAGAAAAAAAACAGAAACTATATACTCATCAAAGGAATAATCCAACAGGAGGACATTGCAATTCTTAACATCTCTGCCTCAAACACAAGGGCACCCATGTTTGTAGAAGAAACACTACTACAGCCTAAATTACATGTTGACCTTCACACACTGATAGTGGGAGATTCCACTATCCCACTCTCACCAATAGATGATTCATACAAAAACTAATCAGAGAAATGCCTGAGTTGACTGATGTTATAAACCTAATGCACTTAACAGATAGTTACAGAATATTTCATCCAACACAAAAGAATATACCTATTTCTAAGAATTTCATGGAACTTTCTCCATAATTGATCACATATTAAGATACAAAGCAAGTTTCAACAGATACAAGAAAATGGAACTAACACCTTTCATCCTATCAGACCACCATGGTTTAAAGGTGGATATCAACAACAGAAACAACTGAAAGCCTACAAACTCATGGAACCTAAACAACTCTCCATTCATTGAAAAATGGGTCAAGACAGAAATTAAAGACTTTCTAGAATTCAATGAAAATGAAAACACAACTTATCCTAACTTATGGGACACAATGAAGGCTGTTCTCAGAGGCAAGTTCATAGCACTGAGTGCCTACATGAAAAAATTTTGGACAGATCTCATAGTAGCAACTTAGCAACACACCTGAAAATCTCTAGAACAAAAAGAAGAAATCACACCCCAAAGGAGTAGACAGTAAGAAATAATCTAATTCAGGGATGAAATCAATAAAATAGAAACAAACAACATCAAAATATAAAGAATAAATGAAACAAAGAGTTGCTTGAAAATAACCCTGAAGTGTGCAGTGAGGGATTTGATAATCAGTCTAATCTTGAATTCTCTCCACTTTTTGGTGAGGACTATGAAAAAGCTAATTTTACACCCTTGCCAAGCTAGGTCACAGTGGGGAGTGGAATTCAGTTCCTAGTTCTTTTCTGGCCTTATGAGCTGAGCTTGGTATTTGCAATTCACTAACCGATACACTTAAAACTCTAGAAGCAAAGATGGCTTTGGATAGTCCTCACATACTATTTTGAGAGGCAAGAAAAGAACTGCAGCTATTTGATTCCAGACCAAATGAAGTATTTTTTGTGTTGTGTGGATCCTTCGCTGCCTTTAAACTTAGTTATTTTACCCACTAAATTGTCTCCTATGGCTGTTATAGAGTAAGAGGATGGATCATCTAAGGGTATAGGAGGGATGCCTGGTTATTCAACAATCTATTAATACTTCTTTTTCCTCAGCTCACTGGGTGGAACTAGCTGTTTTGATTCATTTATTATGGATAATTCATAAACCCTTAAGCACACATCTGGTTAAAACCCCCATACATCCTTTGTTTATTACTCATAACTTTACACATTCTAACCTCCCTGTTTTTATTGCAGTAGGAAATAAGCAATCTGATGCATTAACCTGGCCTATCTTTACTTCCCCAGAAGAAAACTGGGAAGGGGTATAGATCTGTAATTGCAAATAGATCCACCAAAACATGGATTCCTCTTTGGCTTCTGCAGTCCTGGGCTATCAAGAACTATTGGGGAAGGGCAAGGGACAGTGGAATTCACCAGAAACACAACACAATTCTGGATAAAGGGCAAAAGGAAATGTGGTTCATATCAGAAGTCAAGTCTGCCAAATCTATCTGAGGCCAAGCTTGGTGTATGCATCTGCTGTGAGAGTTTCTGAACATGTGTCTTGGTTTCATGTTCTTCATTCTCTTTGCTTCGGCTTGTAGATTAGATGGACCCAGCTCCTGTTATCTGCACTAATGGCACTGTGTTTATGACTGGACCAGGAGACTGTAGTAGTCTCTCATTCATCTGAAGCAGGGACAGTGTTTCAATTTTCCTTGAGATTTGAAGCACTTCCCTTTTTTATAGGATACCATAACATTTTTGTTCCTATTAAAGAGCAAATACGGACTTATGTTATACAAGAGACCAGAACTAATAATCATATGTGTCTCTTTTCAAGCTATTCTCTAGATCTTTCTGATCAATATAATAATGTAATCAAAAGTTCCAGATACAGTTTGGACCCTGTTCTTGGTGGTAGGATATTACACACAGTGCTTTTACTGTACAAATATTACTATAATTTGATTGCTTACAGGATACTTGTGCACCAAATGACAACCAGATTTATCTACAGCATCTCAAATCAAAACCACTCTAGATATCCTACTACTAAAAATTGAAAAGGGAGAAGATATCAGAACATGGTCCAAAAATGGAGTCATGGAAAGAGAATGCTGAGTGCTTATAAGAAAACAAGACAAGGGTCTTGTGACCTCAGTTTCCTAAAAAAAAAAAAAAAAACACACACACTTGCTCTTGGATCATGCCCTTGTTTTTCTCCCAGTGGTAGAAGATGAGAGTGAGTTTACTTCAGATTATTCATTACAACTAGCTATTGTTATTTTTTATTTGTTTATATGCCTCTACAGATTTTTTTTTTTGCCATGTGTGTCTGTCCTGTCACATGAGCCCCTTGTGACTGTACATTTTACTCATGTGACTCTTCTTAACCCTCAGAGTACAAATTGTCTGATGCTCTGAACAAAGTTTGCTATTGCATGAGACTTTAGTCTGCCTTGTTTTTCCATTCCATTCTCCATGATCTCAGCACCAACTAGAGCAGTGAACAGTGTAACACCTCAAAGGCTGCAAGAGACATCAGCTACATTATATTTGTAAATTATGTATCACCATGAAAATATAAGTAAAGTTTTCTAAGGCCACAATTTCTCCCTTCTTCCTTTTTCATGCTTAGCTTCAGAATTTTAATTTTAAAGAGATTTCTTTGGCACCACGGAAGGCTACAAAGTAACTTAGAATTGTTAAATTATAACATTTTTTTTCAATAAATGTTCATGGTATTTCCTCAGGGCAGAAAGAAACAAAACAAAACAAAACCAACAACAACAACAAAACAAACAAACAAAAAACCCCTGTATACTATGTACCATTTAAACTAATTTCCTTGCAGTTTGAAAATAATTCATCAGAAAGTTAATTTCAAAAAAAATTTATTGGACATATAAAGCAGCTATAGATAGCATTCTTTACAATACAATTTAATATTTTGTGAATTGAACATTAATCAAAAGGTGAAAGATCAGAATGCTATTTTGGCAGTGCGATGGACTTAGAGGAACCTTAAAGTTGCTTAGTTAAATTGCTACGCACACACATGTAACATGCTTCATGAACTAGATCCATCCTGTCATTCAAACAGCTACAGGCATTTCTTCAGGAAAATATAGAAACAATATGTTTAAAAATTAAGAGTATAATGCTTAGTTTGATTTCCTCATAATGACTCCTTTATGAGTTGGGCCAATCTCTGGAAGGCCTAAAACAGGAAAGAGATAAGAATTGAAGAAATTAGGATGTACTTTGGGAAACTCTTTCACAATTCTGGAGATTTAAGTGGAATAACCACGGGAAGATGGAATAAGACTGTGGAAATTAGGTTGACAACAGCTTTGTCTGGCAGAATGCCCTTGAGCCATTGAGATACACCAGGCTTATACAAACTTACTAATTTTATTTTAATTAGAACTTTCATGCATCATATTGTATTTTATTTAGTAAAAGTGTTTTGCATTTTATACATTTTCTCATCTGCAAATATTACATACAGTCTGGTCTGCTCAAATCTGTTCATATATAAAGCAGGTCAAGTTTAGGGACAGCCTATTGGTAGCATGGGAAGCAAGTAAAGAGAGGACATACAGGGGGTTTGTCCCAGTACATACACAGACACACATACACACACACACACACACACACACACACTTCTGAAGTAAAGACAGGACATACAGGGAGCCTGTCATCCTATACACACACACACACACACACACAGAGACACATACAGACAGACAGACAGACACACACATACACACACATACACTTCTGAAGTAAAGACAGGACATACAGGGAGCCTGTCATCCTATACACACACACACACACACACACACACACACAGAGACACATACATACAGACAGACACACACACACACATACACCCACACACTTCTGAAGTAAAGACAGGACATACAGGGAGCCTGTCATCCTACACACACACACACACACACACACACACACACACAGACACACACACACATACACACACACACAGAATAGCTTTTCCTTTTGTGTTTCTCTGCACACAGTCCTAAGGATCTTTTAAATTCTTTTTTCTTCAGATATTTAACTATTCATTTATGTGATTCCAAGAAAGAAGGAAAAGGTATTGCCCCAGAGCTTGTTGGAAACACCCCTCCCCCAACTCCAGTACAGTTCAGTAAGTTCTGGTCAGTTACTTGCAAAGACAACAAACTTCAACTCCAGTTTAGCTGCATTTGCCTACAGTAAAATCTGGCTTTCAGAAGTGTAGAAAGACATTACATTCTAGGAGGCTGTGTGACTGAAGAGCATACTCACTAAGTTCATCTGCTCTGGAGTAACCACAGAGAAGGCCGCTCTAAAGAAGGGGTTGGGGGCTGAGCTGTCGATGAAGAAACCATTTCCAGGAACAAATAAGACCTGTGAAAGGTTGTACAAAATAAGTGACTATAGCACTGAAGAAAAATGTAATGAAAATGGACAGAAATGCAGTATTGCTGTGGGGAGGAATACTTTAAGCTTAAGAGCCATTATTGAAATAATAAATCCCAATAGAGAACAAAAATATTATACAAAAATACATAGGCATGTAATAGACAAACCTGAGTCACAGAATTAAGAAAAATATTTACCACCAATATGATCAATGCTATTTCTTCTCCACATATAAAGAATGCAAAGAAAATGAGAAGAAAACACCAAAATTTAAATTTAAATGTACAGAGGACAGGGTAGAAAGAAATGGTAAAATAAATGTTAAGTGGCTAACCTAGCTACAAAAGTAATATAAGTGCAAACATTGAGATTTCTAACTGTGACCCGAAAGACAACTAGATATTGGCCTAACAAAAAGTAGGGAGCGGTATCTTAGGGAGAAACCTTGAAGTGTAAAGGCCCTGGGATAGGGAGGAAATGGTGTGTTTAAGGAAACTGAAGGGTTGCAAATGTTAATGCATAAGAATAAAAATGTTAGTGTGTTAAAATGGGGTGATTTTATTATGACCATGGTGGTGGGGACAGGTAAGTAAGTGGCTGCATACTGACTCCCTCTTCATCCTAGACAAACATACTTTATTCTGCCACGATGATAATGGACTGAACCTCTGAAAATGTAAGCTATTCCATTAAATGTTTTCCTTTGTAAGAGTTGCTGTGGTCATGGTCTTCACAGAAACTCTGACTAAGACACCAGGATTACCTGCCTGGATATCTTGCTATCTATCTATCTATCTATCTATCTATCTATCTATCTATCTATCTATCTATATATATATATATATAAAGTCACAGGGAGTTTAAGATACCCAAAGCTATATACATCTGTGGTAAGGAGTGACTCCGAAGCCAAAACTCCCCAGTCACTGAGGAGAATTACTGTATTTCTGTCAATCTAGCCCATCTGCATTGTAACTTCAAAATTTATTATAATTAATGATGAGACAATACTCCAGCCTAATATTCCAATATCACATGTGCCTGGGCCATAAAAGTATCTTTCATTCCACTCAGAGAAAATTAGTTCAAAGAAATAGTATAAGTTTTCTGTTGGCTACCTCCCACTTTTACCTCTTTTTCAATAGCCTTTTCTTCAATCAGTAGTTGTGTATTGGAGATTCCCTTAACTTTAATCCATAGAAACAATCCAGCTTTGGGAGCATGCCACTCTGCCAAACCTACAAACAAAAGAAGATAACATCTTCTAGACATTTCTGATGACAACAGACTCACAGTTCCAACAGTACAGGTGCAGTGATTGTAAGCAAGGACTTGTAGATAATTTGTTTCTGAGAAAGCATCTCAAAATACGATTTGGTGAGACCCCCCCCCCCAAACTGATGATTGGGGTTTATTTAAAAAGCTCAGTGTTGGGGTAAGGAGCTGAATGTAGGGAGACAATTGCTCCCATGTGTCGTGAGTGCTGTCAGCCTTCAGAGAGAGCAAGAAATTCAGTATGTCTCTCTGTTCCTCAGTTAGACTCACACTCACACCTAAGGCAATTAACAGGCTGTTCCAATTTTAACATTGATTCTTGAATTCTTTCTGAAGTCCCTCGGATTCTATAAATCCTATTATTTATGTAATGGTTTGATGCCAAGATGGATTAATTTCTGCAGAAATGTAGTCAATTAGGATAAAAGTACTAAAACCCAAGAATTCCAGATGCATTTACAAGCTTTATGTGTGAGTCTTATGATAGAAAAACTAAGGAGAAAGGACAAGTATTTTGATTTTAATTACTTAAAAACTCTTGCCATTAATATTTTGCTACCATTCCTTCATAAAGTGATAAGGAAGCACTCTTATCATAGATATGTGATTCTGTTTTAAACGAAGACTTTACAGAGAATGATATATGACAGACATAAGGCATTAATATTTTTGACTTATTAATCTCTATATCATATGCATTTTAATGGTATTTTATTTGATTTCTTTCCATAACAAAAAAATTTTCTAAATTCAAAGTAACAATAGCAAATAATAAACATATGCGTGGCTAATGAATAGAAGAAACGTTTTTAATAAATTTAAAAGTTTAAAATTAAGCTATACCACTTATTTTTATTTGTTTTAGTTAGAAATGAAGTATTTGGGGAACAAAATTTTGAAACAAAAATTTCTGAAAGTTTTTTTCTTTTTTTTATTTAATTTATTATTTTACATGTCAATCCCAGTTCCCCCTCCCTCCCTCCCTTCATCCCTCCCTCCCTTTTACCCTCTCTGCCCCCTCAATGCACCCTGATCATCCTCCCCTCCCATCCCTCTACCCCAATTCCACATGTAGGGCAATGCCATCCAGGTGGGGTCATATAGATCTGTCAGATCATTTGAAGTAGGGACTAGGACTTCTCTCCTGTCTCTAGGTTAAGGCAGTATCCCTCTATGGGGGATGTGTTAGCAAGGTCCTTTTGTGCACCAGAAATACATCCTGGTTCCAATTTCTGAGGTCTCTTAGACTGCTCAGTCCTTCTGGCTGAGACCTATATTGGGGGGGGCTGAGTCAGTCCCATGCTGGATTCTCAGCTTTCAGTCTGGGGGCCCGTTAGCTCCTCCTTGTTCAGGTCAGCTGTCTCTATGTGTTTCTGCAACCTGGTCTTGTCCTCTCCGTCTGCATCTGGATTCTAGATGAACTCAGTGTTTAGGTATGGGTGGTTGCTCCTGTTTCCAACAGGTATTAGATGAGGGCTCCATGGATAAGTTAGTTGTTGATCTCACTATCTGGGAAGGGCATTTATGGTAGCCTTTCCACGGTTGCTCAAATTGTTAGTTGGCAGCAGTCTTGTAGGTCTCTAGACCTTTCTTTAGGTTCAGTTTTCTCTTCAAACCAATAATGGCTCCCTCTTTTATATTCTCTCTCTCTCTCACACACTCTCTCTCTCTCCTCTTTCTCTCTCTCTCTCTCTTCTGTCTTCTATTCCTACCCTGACTCAATCTTCCTAGTTGCCTGTGCTTTCCTCTCCACCCCTCTCCATTCACTGCCCCCCCTTCCCCTGTGCTCTGGGGGACTTGCCCCTTCCTCCTTCTGTGAGGGACATTATATGAATCAATTAGAATAAACCTTGTATTCTAGTTCCTCTGGTGGTGTGAATTATAAGCTGGTGATCCTTTGCTCTAGGTCTAAAATCCATATATGAGTGAATACATACCATGTTCCTCTTCTTGTGACTGAGTTACCTCATTCAGGATGGTTTTTGTTGAAGATGGGTTTTATTCAGCTGCAGGTAATATTGCTAGCTAATGTCTTGGCTTAGTTTTTTTTTTTTTTTTAATCTTTTTAAGACTACAAAATCTGGGGTTGACACTGTAGCTCATTTGGTAGAATGCTTGCCTTGAATGTGAGACCCAGATTCCATTGTCAGCACCTCATAAACTGTGTGGTAGCACACATTTGCAATTTCAGTACTTGGGAAGTGGAGGCAGCAGGATCAGAGTTTCAAGACCAGCCTAGAATACATGAGACTCTTAAAAAAAAAAATCTGGCAGTAGATAGCAGTGATGGTAGAACTCAAGGGTTGACAACATGGTACTTGTATGATTAGATTATCCTTAGGCCAATATTTCCTTCCAAGAAAGCACCTACTCTATTGTCTCTCCCACACTAAGCCAATCATGTGTCTGCCATCCATTCTAGAGATGCTATTGCTTATATTTATATTCAGGCCAGATGCTCCTCACTCACCACTTAACCACTTGTCTGCTGCCGCCAATATAGCATTCCTCTGGTCCCTGTAGAAATCAGTGACTCTAGAAGACAATGACAAGGACATTGAGTTTCGAACCAGACACAAGAAAAGCTCTGATTCTAGCCTGTAAGAATTTGTTTTCTGCTTTGATTGAAACATTTGACTGCTTCATAAGAACACTTGTTGCTTTGACATGTGTGCTGAAAAAATTAAAAGAAAAAATTTCCCCTTTATTATAGAGAACTTAAAGTATAAAAATGAACACAGCAAAATCCATTTCTATGCAAAATACAGAATTTAGATGTTGAAAGTAGCAGGATAGACCTCTGTGCTTGGTTGACTGAAGTAATGTCATTTTCAATGACAGATAGCACTTGAGATGAAAGGGAACTGTATTGAAATGCTGATCACTGTCTGGGAAAGGGGGCAGGGAAGATGTTTCTGCTTGTTTCTAAGTGGTTCAGGAAACACACATTTACATGACAAAAACAGTTCATGACCTGCCTCATCATACTGGCTAAGCAAAGTGTGTGCTTTCATTCATCCTCACTTGAGCCAGTTCCAAAGTCCGGTGTCCTTAGCTGAGTATCAGATAAGATGTTTATGTGTGTGGATAGTTTTTAAGTTAAAACAGTGAACCCTAACCTGGACTACTGTGTTGTGGTGTGGGTGGTCAATAGTTCAGGCCAGACCTTAAATGCTGCTGAGGAGACTGCATGTGAAGGGCTATTACAACAAAAAGACTGTTCTGTTGGTGTGACTGTGGGCATTGGAGATAGAAGGATAAAGGGGATAAACAGATATCTCCACAGCAAAGATCAGTTGCTACTCTTGCAGAGGACCCAGGGGGATTTCCAGCACATACACAGCAGGGTATAACCATCTCCTAACTAGTTCACAACAGGCTGTATCTCTTTTCCTGGGGATTTAGTTTCCTCTTCAAGCTTCCCAAACACCCACCAGGCACCTGGTACTCAGGATGGTTTGTGCTTTGTATTTTGGGCTCCTATTTTGCTCACAAATATTTTAACAGCCAATCCATTACCTGTCAACATGAGCCAGGAAGCCATCTTGTCCCCATTGGTATAGAAGCTGTGATATCATGAGCTGAAAGAGAGAGAACAGTTTCATGTGATGTCATAGTTCATTCTGAAAACCAAGGTTGCACTAATCACAGAAGGCAGCCACTTCTGTTTCCATGAAAACACACAGAAAGATGCAACAGAAGCTCAGGTTACATCAGTGACTTCAGTAGACTTTCATGGAAAACCAGGACAACAGTATGCAGCAGGCTCAGTTAATAAAGCATGTGTGCCTGAGTTTAGAAAACAGCACCTTTGCAAAAAGCTGAGCATAACAGTGAGCAGTTATAACTTTAGTGCTGGGGGTCAGGAGCAGGAGAATTCCTGAAGCTTGCTAGGGAGCAGGCTGCAGGTTCAGTGAGAGATCTTGTCTCTAAGAAAAAGAAGATACCTGATGTTGACCTCTGGCCTATACCTGCTCATGTCCACACAAATGAGAATATATACATACACACAAAATAAAACCCCCTCAAATATAGGACTTTATTATATGCCAGATTCTACTATGACTTCTTAATAGATCTATCAATATGAAACTTGGTAATAATTACGGAAGGTTAGTTTTGTTTTTTCATTTGTTTGTGTTTTACTGGTAAGGAAACTGAAGCACAAAGGTTAATTTTCTTTATTTCAAACTGATCATAAAGCTTGGGTTCCAAGACAGATTTTCCAGCTCCCAACCCATGCTATTGACTACTGAACTGCAAATTGAAAACACATATAATATTATTTTTATTTCCTTTTAGATGGTGTGAGGAAGAAACCCAAGACCAAAATGACTACTCAGTGCATACTAAACCACTGAGTTATATCTCTAGTCCTCCAAACGTATACAACAAGTATAGTGTATTAAATAATGAGAGATTTTCTGTTTGGCTACAGGAGGATCCATGTGCTTACTTGCCAGCCAGTCTAGCCAAACAGGTGAGTTCCAGGTTCAGTGAGAGACTTTGTCTCAAAAAAATGATGTTGAAAGCAGTGAAGGAAAACATCTGGAGCTGGCTTCTGATCTATACACAGGGATGCACACATATACACTCACCCGCATCCACCCAAGCACATAAGCATGAATGAATACAAACATGGACACAAGATCTAATCATATAGGCCCTAGTAGTCTCCAATTCCAGTACCTTTTCAAAGCTTGAGAAGAAATTTATATAATCTCCCTATTTAACTTTAATTAAAATGCTTTCTGATTAGGAGCAGCTGAGGGACAGACAGGATGACACTAACCAGGCTTGCTTTCTTCACATCATTATAAATCCCAACACAATGAAGCCAAGTTTGAAGGACTTCATCAAATTCAGTTCTATTTTGTTTAGCACCCCATAGGTTTTTTTTTTTTAATGTTTGTTGATTGATTCACTTTTAGTGTTCTTCCAGAGACACAGATGAGTATGTTCAGATTCTTGAGAACTCTGCGCAGGCAGAATGATGACACTAGCTTAAATGATTTCTCATTTGCTGCTTAGATTCGACCTCTGCAGATGCTGGTCTGCCAATTCCTTCTTGGAAATGCAAATTCAGCATTTGATTTTTCTGCCCAAAGCTGACTCTGATTAAAAACAAGCAAACAAAACCCAAATCTAAATTGCACTTACTTGTGAGAGGGTGCAGGCATGTAGTGATGAGACTTGTGTGTGTAAAACAATCCTCTCTATCAAGGACTTGGGGCCTGTCATAAACCCTACTCTCAACCTATAGAGAAAGACAAAAGGGTTTATATCAATCCCACATCAACAATTAATGTGAATCATTTTGCTGATTTCACCACGAAAAGAGTGATGCACTGGGGACAAATAGATATTGATGGCTTAAATATTCTAACCAAATACTTATTCTTACTTAAAAACCACCTAAATTTATTATATATGATAAAACAATGCAATGTTATTAAGAATTTATAACCATAGTAATATAGTATCAGTTTCCAAAATGCCCACAATCCTCCTACAACTTAGACTCCTAGACAAGAATCTTTGAACACTGGAAACCATAGTACTCATTGTAAGAATAATACTGAAGTAAAATACTCATATGCCTATTAATGATCAAGTGTATTTTCAGGCAAGTTGAATACAAGCCTAAATGAAAAGAAGTTCTTGACCTAAAAGATTTGAGGCTGGCTTCACGTTAGAGATGAAAGCCTTACCCGGAGGAGAGGATCTTTGAAAAGGTGTCAGCTCTGATCACACGGCCATCGACATCCATGGAGAGAAAGGTTGGTACCCAGGGCTTAAGTAGAAAGAAAATTACTGTTGGTTTGCAAACTCTGATCACTGCAAGGTTGTTTTGCACAGAGAGGAGAAGGCAAACAGGCACAGCCTGGGCACACACAGCAGTTGTGACCTGCAATGTGTGTGTTCTTTGACTAGTGTCTGCCTGACCTCAGGGCTTCTCTGTTAAATATACTCACAAATGTTTCCTTATTGGCTCAAGATGTCATTACTATAAATTTGCAAAAACTTCCACTAACAGTCTCCTCCCCCCATTGAACTCTGGGGTTATTAGATTTAGACAAAGGACTCTCAGGAGAAATGAGTTCAGAGAAGATGAAATGTTCTTTCAAGAGGACCAGCACCTTTTGGTGTTATTCAGATACAAAGTGATCCTTGGAACTGACTAGAAATATAAAAACTGATGAGAATGAAGGTGAGAAATTTAGTTAGTGTTGCATACTGACACTGAAGGGTCTCTAGCCATCCTGAGCATGGGAAACATGGCTCTGGTAGGCTTTGCCCTTCTCCCCTATTCCCTCAGGCCTTGCTAAAAGCCATTAGATAACATTCCTAAAGCTAGTCCCCAAGGTCTATTTCCTTATTTGGCCAATCCCTCCTACTGAAGCCAACTACCAAGGTCCAGCTATCAAAGAATCGAAGCCCAACAATCAAAAGCCCCCTTTGGCTCACCCAATTAACATGCGCACTTAATTGAACACCTTATCCTAACAGGGGGTCTCCCCTTTACCTTTATAAACTATTATTTGCCTATGGGTCATATCTTTCTCCTCTCTATCCAGAGGCAACCCTTTGTCCTGCACATTCCTCAGGACAAACACTCCTCCCTCTCCCTCATTCCCTTCCCCTTCTCCCTCATCCTCTATCTCCTGTATTTGTCTCTTATTACCTGCCCTTTGTCCTGCTGGGCAAATAAATCTGCTTTGTGCTGAGAACTTGGTCTTAGGGGTCCTGAGTTGAATTTTCCCTACAGACACTAAAATTGTCTTTGAAAATAGGACCAAATGAGAAAGGAGTCCATGGTCCTACTCAGGGAGGGAGGACAGGGCAAATCATGCTCTGCAAAACTATGTAGTAAAGAAGTTTGTGTCTTCTCAGTATATATCAAGGTAGGAACTGAATCCAATAATAGGATGAATGTCCGTAGTTCCAGGGGCATGTACTGGATACTCACTGGTAGCATGTACCACTCACTACTACTGTCCAGAAAACTGTAGCATACACTTATAGTGAGGATGACTTAAAAAACCCTTGATCCTCCAGAGGAGGTTCAGAGCACGTGACAAAGGTGCGGTTATGTGGCTGCAGTGCTGTCTTCTCCATCAATGGAGATCACTGACTTAGCATAGTCCTACTCCCCCTTCATCTTGAACACCATCTCATTCCCCTTAGCTATCATCCAAGTCATCTACCACTACCACACTGAAGCTGTAATACAAGATGAATCCAAAGTCATGACCCTCATTTAATATCTGAGGTAATTCGACTAGCCTGATGGCTCTGCTTGTCTAAATGCATGTTTCAGAGCTCTAGCCACTATCCCAAAGGTAAATGATTTCTGGAAAGAGCATTAATATAAAGAAGAAAACTAGAAAAACTGGAAGACTGAAAAACTATAGAGAACACATGATTTATTCAAGTTCATTGACTCAAGCCAGGTTTACTTCCAATGCAGCTACAAACTTTCCACAAATGATCTTTCGACAGTGATGTTAGCCCACATGATCACATACCTTGTTGAACTGGAGAAAATAGTAAGGATCATCTTCTATTATGAGGAAGTCATATTTTCTTGCAAGCTAAAAGGTTAAAACAATATATTTATCCAAGTGATTGGAATCACAGTTCTTTGTTCTCATTCATCCATTCACAAACTGTTGAGTTCCTGTTATCCCAGATATTGAGGCTGAAGATGATGAGTTGCTAATGGCTCCTTTTCTCATGCAAGGCAGAATGTGCATAAGCCATTTATTTGGGCAATGAATCAGAATTAAATGAAGGTCACATCTGAGGGAGAGTGGTAGGACAGCGTGCTGGCTAGTCTTATGTCAACTTGTCACAAGTTAGAGTTATCCAAAAGGAGGGAACATCAATTTCAAGAAAGGTCTCCATAAGAGCCAGCTGTGAAGCATTCTCTTAATCTGTGATTGATTGGGCAAGATCCAGGCTGGTGGTCCTGGGCTTATAAGAAAGCAGACTGAGCAAACCATAGGGAGCAAGTCAGTAAGCAGCACTCCTCCATGGCCTCTGTGTCAAATCCTGAGTCAGGGTTCCTGCCCTGCTTAATTCCTGCCTTGACTTCCCTTTGATGAAGAACTGTGATAAACAGAATAAACCTTTCCCTCTGCAAGTGGCTTTGGCCATGGTGTTTCATCTCAGCAATAGTAACCCTAAGACAGAAAATTACTCAGGTACAACCTCTGGGGATGATCAGAATTGATTAGTTATGCAGATATTAAGGAAGAGGATTCTAGACTGCGGGATGGATGAGTGAAGGGAGAGATCAGGGGTGAAAAAAAAAACTTGGGGCAATTAAAAGACTGAAGAGGACAATATGGTTTTGGCATAATGGGTGCAACTCAGAAGAGGACAGAGAGAGGTGAAAGAGAGAGTGAGAGAGGGAGAGAGAGGGAGAGAGGGGGAGAGAGAGAATAATGGCATCCATCACACAACTTCACAAACTTATCATGAAATTATTTACCTTTTAGAATTTCTAAAGCCACAAGGCTGACTTTTCATTTACCGTATAGCAGGGGCTAGGACTGATTGCCATGCAAACAATGACCAGTAAAACACTAGGAACCAAATGCATCAAGGTGAGTGATGATTCATGTTGTCATACAGTGAGGACATATAGTGGATTAGGAAGTGAGGCTAGGAGTAAGGATGAAGAAGGATCAACTTAGAAGAACTTGGTGGTGGAGTTCACAGGATGAATTGGATATAAGAAGGGGGAAGAGAGAATAGCAAAAGAGAAATGAAAGCAATTGTCCATGGACATTGTTGATGAGGTTGGAGAGCATGGGGGTTTGTGTTGTACTTGAAAGGTTTAGGGTTGGGGCTAGGGGAAAGCCAGGAGTCCCGTTTGGGCCAGGTTAAGTTTGAAATGCTATTGAATGTCTATGGAGATATCACAATTATACACAAGTTGGAGTTCAGGAAAGAGATGGAGCATAGAAAGGGGGAAATCATCTTATGCAAAATGAAATTTATAACCATGGAACTGGATAATGCTATTGGGGAAATATGTAGATAGTACAACTCAGGAGAGAGGCCCGGAGAGATAAAGTAGAACATAAACATTGAAGCAATATCTGGAACCTTTATGTTTTTCAGGTAAAAGACACTGGTTGAAAGCTGGCTGAGTCCACTGCACACAATTAGGTTCCAGGTAGTTAAATGGGGCTTAACACTTATTTTTAGAGCAATTTGTAAGGAAAGTATAGGAACTCAGGTGCAGCAAAAAGACCTTACAAAAAGCTTTTGAGCTTAGTTTTACAGATTTATGTACATCTCTGTATGTGCTCGATATAAAAAAAATGGCAATAACACAATGCACCATAGGTAAGGTACCTACAAAAGTTTTAGAAAGAAGAGTCCCCTATTTTTTTTTTTAATTCTTTGTAGTCTGTAATGACAATGAGAAGAAGGTAGACCCAGCAAGTCTAAAATACAGGGCAAACACAAGCATCCAGTAATAGAAACCAAATTCTTCTCATAACATGTGGTCACAAATGCCATTTTTCATGTATTAAAATACTAATTAATTGAAAGTAAATTCAGAAACAAAGATGAGGCAATTTATTGTGTATCACTTCAGTAGGTACCTTGGCATAGATGATGGAGTCCTTTTATTAAAAGTTATCTTCCCTGAAAACAAGAGTATAGTAAGAAAAGCAACTTGAAGACTCTCCAAAAAGGTAAACAAGAAGCCAGAGCATATCCCTGTCACCCTCTTGTAAATACCTCATAGATTTCCTTCTTGCGGTCACCTGTCATTGAGTAGCCTGTAGGGTTGTTGCCATTTGGGATAGTATAAAGAAGTTTTGGAGTGTTTTTCGTGGGATCCTTGGAATCTTCTGGTTTCCATTGGGAAAGTATTTTTTTGAGAGCCTCTGGAATAATTCCATACTCATCACTGGGGACATTAATGATGTTACTACTCAATGGTTTTATCTGTGGATGACAAAAGAAAGCTTGAGAATGCAGCACAGTTACTAAATGCAAGCTTCATTGTCTTTTAAAAACTTGTCAACAACTGAACTGTTCATGCCCTTAAGTGTGTAAACTGTACTTGGCTCCAAGCTCTGGAGGGCTGAGCTGCGTATTGTAATCTATTATTCCTCTGAGGCCAGCAATAGCTCCACAGGGAGGCTTGTACTTTTAGTTTCATTTGTATTAAGCTTGGTTATGTGTGTCTTATTCAGTTTCACAAAAGGTGAGCAGCAATTGGTGTGTTCATTTTTCCTGAGCAGAAACTTTAAGATACCAGTTCTTGGTTGTCCATTTGTCCCAAACAGAGGGTGCTTCTGTGAGGTTGGGGCTTGTAAGGAAGATGGCACAGGATTCAAGCTGCAGTAGCTTTGTGCTGGGTGTGTAGTGTGAGAGAAATAAAGCTTGGTAGCTGCCAGTGCTTTTGCCTCTTCTCACTGAACTATCTTACAAGAGGTAGGAGTGGTTCATCAGTACCTTGGGCAACTATGGGCAACATCATATGCATCCTATAGTGAGTGCTGTGACAAAGTACATGAGCAAAATGATTTAAGAAGGACATGTTTATATAGGCTCACAGTTTCAGACATTTCAGTCCATTGTGGCAGGGAGAACATAAAGCAACAGAACAGCTCACATCATGGTGCTCAGGAAAAGAGAGAAGGTAAGGGAAAGGGATGGAGGTAGGGGTAGATAGAGGGGAGGAGGGAGGGAGAGAGAGGGATGGAGAGTTCTCAGGCCAATCAGGATGACAAACAATACTATTTATTACATTCCCTCTGGGCAGATTGGTAAGATTGACAGGAAGTTCTTATTATGAGTGAAAATGGTTTCCTTCACAGACAGTGACCCACAGACAGACATTATGGAAAGAGTCTTAATTTGAGGTCTCCATAAAAATCCCTTTCTGAGATCTCAGGAAATCCTGTGGAAGAGAAAGTGGGAAGATGGAAAGAGCCAGAGTGGGTGGAGGACACCAAGAGTACATGGCACTCTTAATCAACCAAGCAAAGTACATGTGAGCTCACAGAGACTGAAGAAGCAAGCATAGGACCTACATGGGTCTTTACCAGTTCCTGTGAGTACATATCTTAGATATTAGCTTAATATTTTTATGGGATTTCTGACTGGGGATGAGTGAGTCTCTGACTCTTGTGCCTGCTCTTGGGACTCTTCTGTTGAGTTGCTCTGTCCAACTTCAGTAGGAAAGTTTTTGCTTCATCTTATGTATTATTTGGTCATGTCTGGCTATCTGTTAGACTTTGTTTCTTTTCTAATGAGAGACAGAAAGGGCCTGAATCCAGAGGAGAGGAGAAAAGGGGAGAAACTGGGAAGAGGAGAAGGAGGGGGAAACTATAATCAAGATATATTGTCTGAGAAAAGAATTTATTTTAAATTTTCATTTCTACCTAGCAGCATGGGCAAGTAGATCTAATTATTGTATATGATGAGGAGAATTCCTATGCTTCTTTGATGGGAAAACTGCTGCAGTTTGTAGAACCATTTCTTGTATTACTGGACACTTGTGAATTCTCTGTTGCACTTCCCCGTTTGTGTTCCAGTCTGTGGACAAAGCCATCCTAAAGCTGGATGCCCTGAACTGAACAAATAGCATTGAGGCAGATGATACCCTCTTCCTGCAGGTTGTAGTCTCACTGCTTTATCACTGGAGTAGGAACTCCAGTATTTGTTTAGAGTCATAGTAAACTGACATATAACATGGTTGTACTAAGGCACTTGGCAAGGAGAAAGCATGTTTTTGTAAATTAAGTCACATTTTATGTGAACTATTAAGAAATTGGACATGGTGCCCATACAATGTAATTTTAGCACATATTCCTTTCCCTTGTAAAGAAGACGTAGAGCATGTTCCGTGTGTCCCATGCACCTTTTAGGAGCCTCTGAGGTACAGATGAAGATGCTAATTATAATTTTTAGTTGACAGGCATTGTCTTTTGTTTGTTTATATCATCATATTGCTGTGAATTCAAAGAAAAACAGCAGAAAATCCAATTTGGTTTGGAAATGTAAGCACACTTTACAGAATATGGCATTTCAAATACTAAAATATATCATAAGTCTACAGATAGGAAGGAAACGGCTCTCTTACAGCACAGCACAGATACAGCACAGTATCTGAAGTCATTAGGTTCCACAAAGCACAAACGGCTTTACAGCACACTCACACATGATCACCAACACTTTTTTCTGAAACTCAAACACAGCTTAAGTTAACTCGATAATATTATCCAAAAAACACCCAGATGAATTTAAATATATCTAGTCAAAAGAATTCCATTTGTGTTGGGCGTTGGTGGCACACACCTTTGATCCCAGCACTTGGGAGGCAGAGGCAGGCAGATGTTTGTGAGTTTGAGGTTAGCCAGGTCTACAGAGTGAGTTCCAGGACAGGCTCCAAAGCTACTGAGAAAACCTGTCTCGAAAGAAAACAAAAAAGGATTCCATTTACTTAAACTTTATTTTTAAACTAAAACTTTTACCTACTCCTCAATCCCCCTTTGTCTTTCTCACAGCTCCTATCCTGGATGTTTCAAAACATACAATGCTATAGATATAATTGTGTTTCCTGTAACACAAACAGATCATCTCTGTCTGGTGCTGAGGAATTGGAACACAATCTCCATCCACTTGTTAAATGTATGGCAATATGGTAGTAGTAGAAGTTCATTGCTGTTGAGAGTGAGTCACCAAATAAAATATATGCACAGGCTTCCAGAAAACTTCACCAAACTTTAGGAAAATAAAGACTCTAAAAGCAGTTTAGTAGAGAGTGCACCTTTTCTTTTTCTTGGTCTACTTTGTGTGTGTGTGTGTGTGTGTGTGTGTGTGTGTGTGTGTGTGTGTGTGTGAGAGAGAGAGAGAGAGAGAGAGAGAGAGAAAGAATGTGTGTGTGTGTGGGTGTGGGTGTGTGTGTGTGTGGTGCATGTATAGACCCAAGGTTGATGTTGGGGAACCATCTTCTATTGATCTTCCACCTTATTCATTAAGTCAGGCTCTCTCAATCAAATCCAGACACATAGCTGCTCTAGACACCCAGCTTGCTTGGGGATCCCCAGGTTCTACCATCTGCATCTGGAATTATAGACAGGCCTCACTCCCACCAGAATTTACTTGGATTTGAGCACCTGAACTCTTGTCCTCTCCTTGCATAAGTCAAAATGAGCCAACATTTTAATCCCTGAAACATCTCCCCAGTCCCCTAAACTGTTTTTGACTTTTTATTTAAAAAAAATCATTTTTAAAATAGCAACTTTGACCTTAGTGTTTTGATGTTAATATGATTAATAACATATCATGCACTCAGAATTCAGCTGTCACACAAAATAAAGCATCATGTTAAACAGTAATGACAGTGACTTTACTGTGAGAGACAGGCTGAGGACCAAATGGCTGTTCAGGTGATGATAAACCACACAGGCTTTGTTGCAAAGGAGGAACTCTTAAAAGTATCTTTGAGGTGACAGACAGTCTAAAGGGCTGTAATAGACTTGCTGTTTTGTAAAAATCATGTACTTACAGCATAAAGGGCTCCGGGATACAAAGGTTCATTTATGAGGATAATATCTCCAGGATTGATGAGCATTTCAAACACCTGACAAAAGAAACAGGTTAGCTCAGACAGAGTAGCCACCATCCTCAGAACATCTTTTCTTTTGTGTTCCTAGGACCTAGAGGGAGAGTGGGAAGTTCTTCTGTGAGGGCTAGGCAATAACCATTGTGAGAGCCATAGTGTTTCTGTTGCACCTGCTCATCTCTGCCTCAATAGCAAGAGAGCAGTCACAGGCAATGTGTAAGTAAATAAGAGTATCTGGTGCCAATAAAACTTTATTTACCAACTTAGTCTGCATTCTGCTGTCTAGCAGTTTGTTGGCCTCTGGTGCTGGGCAAAATGAAAAAGGGCATAACTGGTTTGGCTCCTAAAATTCATCTGTTCCTTTTATTGCTTTTTGGAAAATGTTGACTATGGTAGGTGTTGACAATGAATCAGGCCAGGGAAGAGTACTGAAGACAAAATCCTTGCAAAATGACCCAGTTCCTACTGTGATGGTGTAGCTGATCCTCCTCAGGAAGAGCTAGACACTAATCACATAATTATCTCAATAGAGAGGCCAAATCCATGGTGAGTACTGTTAGGCTTAGGTGTTCAACACCACAGACCTCTCATTGCAGGACTTTGACACTCAGAGAACTTAGCTAAGACTTGAGGTCCTGGTGTATGTAAGGATAACTGGTACTTTATGGTAAAGGGGGAGACTTCTGGGGCTTGAGGTGGAGTGTGAAGAGGCATGGGGCCAGAGAGAGAGAGAGGGAGGGCAGGTGTTGGCAAAAAGAGACTACTCCACAAAATCATTCAGGCCATAGGAGGTGCTCAAGGACTTTGGAAGGGAGAGACTAGGAGGAGCCACATTATCAGACATGCAGTTTAGGGAGATGCTTCAGACTATAGTATAAAATAGCAAGAGAAGGGGGAGGAGCAGCTGGGAAGTTTAGTGCACTGTTTGGGAATTAATGATATGGTCCTAGGGACAAACACAGGTAGTCTGAGCTGGAGAGGTGGCATTGTAGGAAGGCCTGAGAGGATTAGGATATGAAAACCAATGGGGCATGTGTATGGACTATAAGGGGCTGAAGAAGAAGAAGAGTTGAAGATTTTTTAGTGCCAATCACTTAAACACAGGGCCAAAAAGTAGCCCTATCTGATAGAGATGAGTTGTTTAGTTTAGTTCTCTTTTTTTCTCCTGCCTTAAACATCCTGCTATAGGGTGAGGTAGACAAATGGACAAATGCATTTGGAAAGAGCGTGGAAGTGGGCATGTGCTTCATCACATGGGTGTGCCTGAACACACTCAGATGCAGCGTGCAGATATACTCGAGGACTGAAGTGTGATGCCAGGAAATCAGAGCTAAGCCCAGTAGGATGAGGTAAAGGAGGCCTCACATGTCCCGTGGACGAGACCACAGGCTGGGAAAGTTGGAGCATCAAAAAAGGATAGCATGGTCAGTATTGCCAAACAGTAGTTGGCAGTTAAAGGTGACAAGTTTGGTGGTATGGATTTTGTGAGGACTGCTTAAGTCATTCGTTGAAGGCAAAAGTTTTTCCAGTCCAAATGTGTTGGACTATCATGGCTCAATTGTACATAAGCCACAGAACAATCCCTCCCTATCTTATGCTATATCATAGTCCCTGTCTCACCTCTTTCTTCCTGTCAGTTTAATAGCCTATATATCACAATAAGAGTAAAGCTATTTTCAACTGAGCCAGACGATTTAACTATTGTTCTCCAATTTGGCCTGATGCTCAATTTATCTTTTTCTTTCTGAACTTTTGACATCTTATAGAAAACATACTTCTCCTGAAAGTTTCTAATGGACTCAGACTTCACAAGATGTCCTATCAGCACACAAACCAGCTAAGTGACTGACATATGTCTCAACAACAAATGAAAGGAACAGCTTATCATGTAAACTTTCCACAATTAGGGGGCCTCCAGAAACCAAATGTCCCAACTGAAAGGGGGAGCTGCTCATCATCTGTGAGGATGGGGACTAGAAGGAACAGGGACTCTCATGGGCTCACCCCTACCTGAGGAGCTAGAGGCAGCTGACAGCTGCTGGGGAGAGAGGACCATCCTCCTTGTGGATTTGGCTTCTGGAGGTTGCCTATGCTTCAGTGGATGGCTACACATCCAATAGAAAGCATTAACTAGGTTTAGCCAGTTACTATAAAAAGAAGAGAATGTGAACTCAGGAGGAAGATGTGTTTGTGGGCTCAAGAGAATTGGAGGGAGGAAATATGGGGTGTGAATGATCATTATATTCATCCATGAAATTCTCATAGACTAAATTAAAAAAGAAAATAGCTTTAGGAGAAATAAAAAAAAAAAAAAAGAAATCTATTCTTAACCTAGCCTGGTAGACATAAGGTTAATTTGCTTTTTAAAAAAGAAGGGTACAAACCAACTACCATGGAACACATAGAAGGAATATTAAACCAGATTATCACCACAATCTCTATAATAAAGCCCCAATACCAACTTCCTTTTTTGTTTTGACTGGAATTGTAACAGATAATGAAGAAACAATTTTCAGCATGCTTTCCAATGAAAATCATTTCTTGGAGAGAATTTCTAAGTCTCAGTCCATAAACTCACAAAGGTTCTCCTCTGGCAAATATCTACACAGTAGCTAATTCATTTTCTAAGCATAAAAAGGACAGGTTATTTTGAATTCTGATATCAATTTGTACCTGACCCTTGTGTGCCGTCAATCACCCCCCTTGTCTTACCCCTTCCATCCTCTTGCCATCTTTTGACTTTGAATTTCCTGTTTATTATCCTAGGTGAAGAGGAAAGGGTCTACTAGTAGCCCTCAGAACATGATCCCCTCATAGTGTGTGGGTGATGACCACATTTAGGAGTGTGCTTGATTCTACACAAAACCTTCCTTCTCCTTCCTTTCTTACCTTACAGAGCCCATCCTGGCAGCCGGATGTGATGCAGATATCCATTTGTCCTTGAGTGGGTGGGTAGTGGACAGTGGGGGGATTGTGCAGTTTTATTTGCAACTGTTTTAGCCATGACAGAAGTTCTGGAATTCTAAGGCATACAATGCATTTTATAATTTATAGTCATAATAATCATAGAATAGTAGGCAGAGATGAAATAGTGACTTAATATCAAACTCATTATACATTCAATTTAACAATCCCTCAAATGCCTTTCAGAAGTTTCAGTATTCTCACTTAAAAAATGAGGCAATAGAGTGAGACATTAAGAGATTCACGTAAATTCAATCAGCCAGAAATTCACATAAAGCCGGCCACTTAATCCATGTGCCAAGCTTGAATCTACATCCTAATTATGTGCAAGCCTGAAGGCTTGTTTCCTCCAGGATTTTCATTACATAGTCGAATCTTTGCTAGACAAGGAAGATTACTATAAGTTATCTAGATGCTTACCCAATTCATGTGCACATTAATAGCATGATTTCAACAAACTCCTCAAACAGAGGATTTTTTTACTTGCATTATTGTGTATATAGCTCAGGCTGGTTTTGAGATGATGCATATTCCAGTATACCTGACCACAAATGCATTCAATAAAATATTATATAAAGAATTATTAAATAACTTTTATCAGTGGGAGAAGACCAGCTAAAAGAAGTCTTAAGATATATCGTTCAGTTTGTCTGTCAGCAGTTAAGACATTTGAACGAACCTATGGAAGCAATGCATTTGGCCTGCTTAACAGAAAACATCATGGCACCTGCCAGAAAACTAGGTAGGCTACCTGTAGACCTTCTCTGCTCTCTCTGTTCCCCTAGACTCAATCTCTAAGTCTCTTCCTTAGTCCTGAAACAAATCATCAGCTGCAGCCTCCCTTCCCCTCTGCCCACATCTTCTGTAGACCCCACAGACCATTCTTTCCTGACTGCCCTTCCTCCACTCATCACTGCATCCCAGCCTCCAGCACCAGCAGCCATTCCCTGCAGACACCAGCTGAGCAGGCCAGTAAAACAGATAATACACAGCTATCACAGTCTCTGAAAATCCAGAGAGGAAACAGAAATCACCTGTGTTCACTGATGCTCTATTCATAATAGCCCGAAACTGGAAACAATCTAGATGTCCCTCAACAGAAGAATGGATAAATTAAAAATGGCACATTAACACAATGGAGAATTGCTCAGCTGTTAAAAAAATACCATCATGAAATTCACAGGCAAATGGATGAGACTAGAAAAAAAATCATTCTGAGTGAGGTAACCCAGATCCAGAAAGAGAAATATGGCATGTAGGTATGTGTTCACTTATAAATGGGTATTAGCAGCTAAATAAATGATGATCAAGTTACAATCCATAGACCCAGAGATGTTATGTATGGGGGAATGGTCTGGAAGGACATACGGATCTCCATGGAAAGGGGAAATTGAGTAGATTTTGTGGGTGGGCTAGGGGTGGGTGGGGATGGCATTGGGAAGGATCAGGTAGGGGGATGGGATGGAGGGAAAGTTTGGAAGAGATGGCTGGAACTGTGGGGGCACTTGGGGCATAGTGTGGAATCCTAGTGTAGTGAAAGCTTCCTGAAATCTATGATGGTGATCCTAATGAGGACTGCCTGTAATGGGGAATATGAAGTCTCAACAGGACATCTCTTGTTGCTAAGCGAGGCTTCCAGGGGCAGGACTTGATTGAATTCAATTGAGTTGTTGACCACAGGTGTCCCATGGAAATCCTTAAACAACCAAGGCTATTGCTAAAACAAAGAGTTGCTCTCTGCAATCTGACAGCAGGGGACAATTCCCACACAATTCAGTGGACATGGAAAAGTGGAGTTGGTGCCTACATGGAGCCTTCACACCTATGCTGTAGTCCCTTGGTGTGGGCAGGTACTCTGAAGGCTACTGAAAGAGAAATGTGAACATCAGCCCAGGCACAAAACCTTTGACCTACCATGTGTGCAGCCTGTAAGATAGGCTAGGCCAATTGTAACACAGAATTTGTGGGAGTATCCGGCCAGTGTCTGATTTGACTTAAGGTTCACTCCATGAGAAGGAACCCATAACTGACACTGCTTAGGTAACCAAAATACAGAGACTAGATAGCCCAAGGACCCAACAGGACCAGTAACAAACAAAACCCAAATGACAAACAAAAGAAACCATTGAAATGATTTCTAATGATATTCTGCTATACTCATAGATCACTGCCTTTATCTAGTCATCATCAGAGAAGCTTCCTCCTGCCGCAGATGGGAATAGATGCAGGGACCCACAGACAGATATTATGGAAAGAGAATCTAAACTGGAGGTCTGCATCAGATTCCTCCCTTCAGAGCCCAGGGAATTCCATTAGGAAGGAGCGGAATGATGGTAAGAGTCAGGGGATGGAGGACACCAGGAGAACAAGGTGCTCTGAATCACCTAAGCAAGGCACATCTGAACTCACAGAGATTGAAGCAGCAGACACAGAACCTACATGGGTCTGCACCAGGCCCTCTGCATGTATACTATAGCTAGCTATTATCTCAGCATTTGGTGAGACCCCTGATCAGTGGGTCTTTGACTCTTGTGCCTGCTCTGGGGATTCTTCCTGTTGGGTTACTGTGTCCAAACATAAAAGTTTTTGACTTACATTTTATTTTGTCATGTTTGTTATCACTTAGAATCCTTTTCTAGTGCACTGGGGAGTGGATTAGGAAGGGAGGGGGTGTGGGAAGGAACTGGGAGGAGTGGATGGAGAGGAGCTATAATCAGGATCTATTGTATGAGAAAAGAATCTATTGCCAATGAACAAATAAAATGCACATTTATTTCTTAAAAAAGAAATGTCATTGTTTTATCCATTTTCTCTCTTCTCCCACTATACTTCTTCACCGAGCATTCTTTTTAGTGTCACACTCAGCTCAAATGGTACCTTCTAGATTTCTTCCTTGGGCTTTCCCAGTCATTTAAGTTTGAAAGCCAGTCACTAGGGAGTATGAAGCATTTAGTACTGATTTTGCTTTTAGTATTTGAAAATTTCTTCTTCAAAATTTCCCAGTCATTGTACTCCTTGTTAACAAAGGACTAAGTCACTTTACCAATAAGATATGACAATGAACCAATAGAATTCTATCATCCATTGTTAGCTTACCCATAGCTTGGAGAGTACTGAAGGGCTCTTTTGATTGTATCTTTTTCAAAGTGTATAGTATTTCCATTTTCCACAGTGAAAGTAGCCGTCTTAAAGGGGAACATGTTTGGGTTTGGAGATCCAGGAGCCAGGGAAATGAGGGATTTTGGTGCCTTGACCATTATGTCAGCTATGATAAAAAACAAACAAACAAACAAACAAACAATGACAGAATATGTCTACTGAAGCTTACTTTAAAAAGACAATTTATTATGCGATATTATTAACTATCATGTTGATAGTTGTGATAGACTGTGCTGTAGCTTGTATGTGGGATCTCTGACCAGTTCCTAAATTAGAATCTAGTACTCAAAACGACACAGATGTGATTAGGTCATGATAACTCTGCCCTTAGGAATGGAACTGGTGTTCTTATGAAAGGGGCCGAGTTGCAGCGAGAAGCATCTATTTGGGATGACCCTCATTGGGTAGCTGATGTGAGGCTTCCCAACCTCCAGAACCGACAGAAGAGCATTCTTACTATTTATTAAATTTCCCGCTGGTGTTAGTCTGACATAGTGGCCTACTGTGCTAAGACCGAATACTAGTCTAAAATAATCACAAACTAACTTTTCCTAGGCTTCCTTACTTGTGGAGGGATGGGAGAATGAGGATGGCCAAGAAAACTGGAGAGGGTTCTGGAATCAAGCAAAGGGCCACAGTAGCAGAAGGCCTTTCTCCACTTACTCCATTACCTACCTGTGTGTCCCAGCCCACCTCTGGCTCCCACTTCCCAGGCCCTTCACTCCACATGGCTGCATGCCCATCTTCCCTGCAGAGCCTTTCTCTACAGCCAGTTTGCAGGGATATGTCTATGGGAGACACTTGAGCTTTCCCTCTGGTTCAGCTCCTCCGACACCCCAGCGACTGTCTTGCCTTGCCTCAGCCCAAGTTCTTAGCTAACAAAACTTATCTATTTCTCCTTCAACTAATGCTCACAGATGGTCTTCACACTTGGAACCAGCGGTGAATGCCACAACAGTGCACCGCGCAGAGCTTCAGGGAAAACTCCTCTCTTGCAGACCAGGGAAGCCGCGGACTTTGTTTTTCACCTGTGGCTCTGATGGGGGAAGGCTTTCTGGCAATGCTGGTTGCCGTGAGAAACCTTGAGTAATTCATGTCTCTGCCGGTCGCTTGGCGCAGGACTAGCAAAGGCAGGCAGTTATAGAACGACCTCCCAGCTCACAGGAGAAGCACAGTCAGCTGTCCCTGTTTAATGATGCAGAATGCCACCCAAGCTGCCCGGCTGCAGGCTGCCTCTGGTGTCTGCGATCTAAATAGGCCTGGGCCAGGCCGCAGCAGAGACAAAGTCCATCTGCAGAGGGGATGAGTACCGTGACCTACGCTGGCGGACAGCCATAGGCCACGTCCTCTTCCGCCCTGCACCCGGGGAGTGGCCCTACTTCAGTCCACCCGCCCAAATGGGCGTGTCGAGATGTGAAAGGCAAGACCCCACAAGATGGCAGAGTCACAACCTGGATTAGTGCCCAAATCCACAAAAAGGCAGCATGGACCCTTGACCTTGTATCTCAGAGTCTCACAACACAGAATCGCCATTTATCAAGGTTCTGGCCTGCCAGATCTTTGAAATGAGGCCCTAGAAACGGACCTGACCTCAGGATCCTGGTTCTTCCGCGCTCTCTGGTGGTGGCTTTGTTCCATTGCAGCAGTTACTATAAGAGGACCTCAGCCTGGTATGCTTAGTACCAAGACTGTACTAAATCCTCGGTTTTTTTTTTTTCTTTAATAAAACTCTTGTGTATTTTTCCACTGAGTAGTAATCCATTTGCCAGGGACTATCCCCAGCCGGGTGTAGGGGTCCCTGGGATGAGGGTTCTCTAAGACTAGGTGGGTAAGGATTTGGCGGTGACAAACAGAAACAAACACAGAGGCAGTTTAAATCTGAGTGTATTTTGCAACTGCCAAGCAAGGTTTTTTTTCTTTTCTTTTTTTTTTTTTTTTTTTTTTTTTATCCAGGATAAAGCAAGCATAGCTTCTCAGAGATTGTGTTCACTGAAGCAAACCCAGATAGAAAAAATGACATAATCGTTATTAGGCACAGTAACATACAACTTATCCAAAGCTAACAATAAATCAGAAAATCATAGGCTAACTACAACTAACAGCCCATTTTCTAAGATCAAGTTAATATTTTTTATGGTCAGTTTTTTGTTTAACATTTGTTGCCTAGCTCTTGTGAATCTTTGACATATTGAGCTATTTTGACTTTTTCTTATCAAAAGGCTTTCTTTACCAAAAGTTTAAACCTACTCTCAATTACACATGTGCAGCCATATGAAGTTTTATTTTTGGAAAAGTTTTCATTAATATTTGTACTTATGTGAATGATGTGAATGATTTGAAAAGTGCTGGTTTGCCTGGAGACAAGGTCATGGTTAGTGACTACATCTTAGGGGACAGTTTCTCATTTGTATCTTTTGTTTAAAATGTCAGCATAGGCTTTAAAGAACATTTCCTTAATATGAGAAAAGAAAAGAAGAGCAGGGATTGCCATGAGAACTACAGCTCAATATTTATCTCTGGCTGAGAGTTCCACAGCTGTTTCCAGGAGACCTCCTTCTTCTGAAATTACTGCCTTGGTCTGTGGAACTTGTTACACAGAATCTACTGGATTTGGTGTGGCATCCGTTGTGTAAATGCACCACATTTTCTTTATCCATTTTTCAGTTGTGGGGCATTTTGGTTGCTTCCAGGTTCTGGCTATTACAAATAATGCTTCTATGAACAGATGTCCTTTTTGTATGAATGGGCATCCTTTGGGTATATGCTTAAGAGTGGAATTGCTGGATCTTGAGGTAGACTGGTTCCCATTTTCCTGAGAAACTGCCATATTGATTCCCAAAGTGGTACAAGTTTGCATTCCCACCAGCATTGGAGGAGTGTACTCCTTTCTCCACATCCTCTCCAGCATAAACTGTCATTAGTGTTTTTGATTTTAGCCATTCTGACAGGTGTAAGATGGTATCTCAGAGTTTTTTTGATTTGCATTTCCCTGATGGCTAAGGATGTGGAGCAATTTTTTAAGTACCTTTCAGCCATTTGAGATTCCTCTATTGAGAATTCTCTATTTAGTTATGTACCCCATTTTTTAATTGAATTATTTGGTGTTTTGGTGACTAGCTTCTTGAGTTCCTTTGTTTATTTTGGAGATCAGCCCTCTGTATGGATGGAACTAGAAGAAACCACTTTGAATGAGGTAACCCAGACGCAGAAAGAGAAACATGGTATATACTTACTCATAAGTGGATGTTAGACATAGAGCAAAGAATTGTCAGCCTACAATCCACACTGCCAGAAAGGCTAGGAAGCAAGGAGGACTCTAAGAGAGTCATACATGGTCCTCCAAATAATGGGAAAGAGAAAAGAGCTCCTGAGCAAATTGGGAGCATGGGGTGGGGTGAGCAGGAGGGAGTCAGGAGAAAGAGCAGGGGAGAAGAGAAGGGGGTAGGAGAACATGAGGGATCAGGAAGGTTGAGTTGGGGGAAGAACAGAGGTGAGCAAGGAAAGAGAGACCTTAATAGAGGGAGCCATTACAGGTTTAAAGAGAAATCTGGCACTAGGGAAATGTCCAGGGATCCACAAGGATGATTCCAACTAAAAATCTAAGCAATAGTTGAGAGACTACTTTAAATGTCCTTCCCCTATAATGAGGTTGATGTCTACCTTAAATTCCATCGTAGAATCTTCACCCAGTAGCTGATGGAAGCAGAAGCAGAGATCCACAGCTAAGCATTGAGCATAACTCCTGGAATCCAATTGTAGAGAGGGAGGAGTGATGAGAAAAGGGGTCAAGACCATGTTGGGAAAACCCACAGAAACAGCTGACCTGAAGAAATGGGAACCAGCATAGGACTTAACCAGCTCCCCTGAACTTGGGTGTCAGCTGGAGGGCCTGTACAGTCTATAGGGACTCTGGCAGTGGAATCAATATTTATCCCTAGTGCATGAATGGGCTTTGAGAGCCCATTCCCTATGGAAGGATCCTCTCTTAGCCTAGATACATGGGGGGAGGACCTAGGCTCTGCCCCAAAGGATGTGACAGACTTTGATGATTCCCCATGGGGGAGTGGATGGAGGGTGGGATTGGGGCAGGGGAGTTGGTGGGGAGGATGGGAAGAAGAGGGAACTGGGATTGGTATCTAAAATAAGATTGTTTTTAATTTAAATAAAAACTAATTTTAAAAAAGGAAAAAAAAAAAACCCACCACCATACCAACAACAAAACTTCTTGGCACTCTCTGGCAAGTCTTCAAGAGGACTCAGATGGATTCCAGTAACTCTTTATCCAATATATGAACCTGGTAGAGTGAGGGGGGGAGAGTTAACTCCCAAATTCAAAGATGCATTATTAGTCACCCTCTGAGTTCCAAAGCTTTTGCTGTGTAAGAGCTCTGTTGGAAGTGTGTTGAATATGGCATAGAGAAAGCGATGGTGAAGTATGACCTCATTCATCACCAGGTCGATGGCCATACAAAGAGAAACTGTCTTAGGTTCACAGTCATTTAAAGGAGAAGGATACAGTGAATAATTCCACAAGGTGCCTGGGCCATATAGGGAGTGAGTTCCAAAATCATTAAAGAACTGCTGAAAACACAGGGTTAAAGCTTGTCTCTGGAAATAGGACAGGGCATCAATTTTGAGGTGTCACTTTTATTTGACCATGGTAGTTAAAAATAGCTGTGGCAGGTGAGGGCCTTTATCCAAGAGGTTGTGCGGGGGTGAGTAAGAGGGGCTTTGGAGATTACAGTCATTCCAGGCTTAAAAAGAGCACATGCTACAGTAGCTTGACTGCTCAGTGTTGGAGTTCACACTCTGAATAGAGAACACAACGTATACAATACAAACTATCAACACATGAGATGTACTTTAGTTAATTTTATACTGTCACAATGAAACACGATGACCAAAGCAACTTATAAAAGAACACATTTGACTTCAGGGCTCACAGTTGCAGAGAACTAGAGTCCTTGACCATCATAGCCCATAGTCTTTGACCAAAGTGGTCCATCAGAGAAGACAATATGATGTAGTGTGCTGAGGTTTATGGTTATAGAAATGCAAGGCAGATTATAGCCACAGTCCATGAGAAAGAGCTGCACATAGGTTATATTTTCTTGTTGCAGTAACCAACTACTTGTGAAGAAGCAACTTAAGGGGCAAAAGAGTTATTTTGGTTCATGGTTTAAGGAGATACAGTCATATTGGCAGAGGGAGGAGGGTGAAGTGTCTGGTCACATAACCTTTACAGTCAGAAAACAGAAAGCCTATAGAGGGAACTAGGACCAGGATGTAAAACCCCAAGGCCTCCCTGTAGTGAGCTACTTCCCCAAGTGAGTCCTCTCATGTAAAGATTGTACAGCCTGCCCAAACAGCTTCACCGTGTATTCAAACCCATGAGCTTATGCAAGAGATTTAACATTCAAATCCCCACAGACTAGACTGTCAGGAGTTAAGTGGAGAGGAGCTTGGCCATCAATTTGAAGTCACAAGTTGAAGGTAAAATGACTGACTGTAACTTTTGTGTCAGAGCTAGAGCCTCCCGTACTTGGACAACAGTTGGATTGGGCTTTGGCTTACCTTAACCTTGCTGTCCTTGCAATGTAACACCCTAAATCTGGAACTCAAACACCAGAACTAGACCAACTCCTGTGCAAAAACAAAGATGCATAAACAAAGAGTCTTTATTAACTCGGGTTAACTCGGGTTAACTCGGGTCCCTCCATTTGTCTGAAGTGACCTGGCCAGAGCAGGAGAGACTCGGAATGTTAAGGGAAAGGGGTTTCTATAGAGGAAAAGACCTGGGGGGGGGGGTGTGGTGCGTGATTCCAAGCCTCTAGGCTTGTGATTGGCTGCCCCCATGGGGTGTGGAAAATTCCAAGCTTGAAGCCTTGGGATTGGCTGCCCCTCTGGGCTAAGGTCCAGAAAAGGTCAAGGTACCTCTTTAGGGTAGGGGTTACTACTTCCCTAGGCTTAAAGTCTGTAGGGAGTCAGTCATGCCTCTAGACTAGAGGTGACTACCTCACTATTACCCTGGGCTGGAAAGGTCACTCCCCTAGGCTAGGGTAACTACCTTACTACTCAGGGATTGGTCAGTTTTTCCTGCTCAGGGGTTGGCTGTTTTTTGTTTGTTTGTTTGTTTGTTTTGTTTTGTTTTTTGTCAGGTGCAG